TTTCAGCTTTATGTGTACATACTGCAATACCCAAATACAACATACCATTAAAAAGGGATCAAATAAATAGCCAGTCAAACTGTATTTGGGAGGAGCAAGTAAAAATAGTCTGAAAACAGTCATAAAAAGTGTAAGAGATTCTGACTTTTCATCTCAGAACATAGTTAGTGAAAACATTCACTCAGTTTTGTGTTTGCTCAGTTTTCATCTCTTTGCAGATAACCTTGAAGGTATCAACCACTTGTCTGGATATAAAGCAGGGAGGGGTTATTTGGGTAGGGGGTTAAATGAGCCTTTAAGCTTTATGAAGCTTACCCATCACAATTTCATACACCTCGTGGCAGCTGTCTAATCTTTGTTTAGCCAAATGCATCTATCCATTCAGGTTTAAATCCAAGTTCTACCTACTTAAAAACAAGAAATATATGTACTGAGTTTACAAAAAGATTCATACTACTACTAATAAACAACAACTTTGCAAACTTGAAGATTTCAGCTACATTTTTATTTCACTGTCAGTTTTAAACATTTCCCCTGTACATTCATTTCACTTTTCATTCTATTAAAAATACAACAGAAACATGCTATAAAGATATCTGACACAACATTTGTACATACTTACCACTCTGTCATGCTACACTAACTTTTCTGAACAACAAAATGCTACAAAATATTTAACAGTTAAGACTTACAAAGTTGAAGAAGCCCTAAAAGGTGGTATCCTGTCAACTGAGGTAGTATATTTGGTAGGAGGGAGACACTTTAAATTCCTTTAGTCTAAAGCCAACTTTTTAAAAGAATGGTACAAATACTTTAATTTGCCTTGGAAATTAAATTTAGAAACTAAAAAAAAGAAAAAAATATAAACAAAAGACAGTCTACTTGTGTAATCTGTGAAGAGTAGCAAAATGTTATAGGAAAAAAGGAGCAAGTACAATGAAGAAGTTTTATCTTGGGCTGAACAAAGCTGAATGCTTTAAACTCAACTGATGTTGTTCCTTAAATTTAGAATCTTATCAAAAGGCAAAACTATAGGATTAGGTAGCAGAGGGTGGGTTACTACTGATCAAGGTGCCAATCTTACAAAAATGATGGGCATCAGCCAACCTTTGCCTTTAATGGGTTTCTGTGCAACAGCAGAAGTCGGCTGCCTTCATCTCTTTGTAGAACTGGATCCAAGTCAGACCAAATCACAAGCCCCTTTTTGTTTCAAATTAAACTGGAATTAGCCTTTTACTTAATTACTATAAAATAGCAGGAACAACATGACGTGAGGAGAGTGCATAAAAATATGAAACATTTTAATACTCATAAGTAGGGATCCTGGTTCTCTCTGAAAAAAAAAATAAAATAAAATCCCCAATTTCCAGATTAAAAAAGTTAAACAAAATCCACATTTTTCCCCAATTAAAATGGAACGCTACTAATATATAGATATATATAGTGGCATTTCATTTTAAATCAGGGAAAATGTGGATTTTGGGTTACTTTTTTAATCCAAAAAATGGGATTTTTGGTTTTGGGTTTGTTTTTTTTAAATCAGAGAAAACCAGGATCCCAGCTCATAAAGGAAGGTGTTTCCCATATACATCTTCAGCATAGGGGGAAGTTTGGGAATAGCCGCATTCACTATGTGGTTCTACTTACTGTCAATGAAAGTCGGCCGGGTGCCTGCAAGCAACTGGTTGCAGCGTCAACGTTTGGTTTTAAGCAAAGGACAAAAGTGAAGGGTGAGCAGCTCAGGAACCAAGCAGAGGAAACAGATTTCCTCATGTACCAGCAATAGGAGATAACTCCACCTCAGGAATATTGTAGCCTCTTTAAAAACAAGACACTGGCTAGACATATTAAAACACAATACTAAGAAAGGAGGCACCTGGAATGTTAGGTAAGAGAAAGCAAACTTAAGAAAACATGTTAACTTTTTAAAGAATCATATCTGCAAATTAAGAGAAAGTCTTCCAGCTTGGAAACAAGCCTTTTGTAGAGAGGCTTCTCATGGTTGTGGTTCCTTCCCTCGAGAAAGGGAACCTTGTAACAAGTTTGATGGCATTTCAGTCACATCTGAAAGCAAAATGAAAAACCCCCATAATAGCAACATTTGCCTCCTTTTAACAATTGAAGATACTCTCGTAAACATCTAAACACCAAGGCAGCACAAAGCCAAACTTGTCTCCTGTATTTCTTTCCTAACACTGGAAATTCTGGAAGCAATGAGAGTTAATGAATCAAAAAAATAAAGGAGGGGGGTCGCAGATCTAAACACTTCCTGTGCAATGCCCATAGTGTCCTAGAGCACTGGCACTCGCACTCTAACACTACTTGGGTGTTTGCTTTTCTTCTTAAAAAGTGTTATTCCCCTCCATCATTTCCTTGGTCTCCAAATAATGTCATGTACTGCTTCACAGTGCTTGATGCAAAAGAAGAGGAAGAAGAAGAGTAATTCACTATATAAGTTAGCTTTTGAAATGGGAGGCTGCTCAATTCTCAAGAAATTTATGGAGGTATGCCTTAAGTCTAAAAAGGTTGAAAACCACTGGTTTATAGACTGTATATAAAAAGGTATCTATGCCTGTGTCCAGTTTTCTTCTTATGAAACAATAAAAAAAATGGATTTTATGAACTATTTGACCTTAAGGGCAAGTTTCTTGCCTCAAGGAAGTCAGTCCAGAAGAGATCAAAAGGCACCAGGATGATAGTGCAAAAAAGTTCTGTAGAATGCTCACACGGGTGACAAATCACCATGTCTGGGGTTTATCCTTGTACAGTTCATTTAAACTTAAACTGCCCCTTCTAAGTGAGTATAAAGGACAATCTCCATCTAATAACTGGAAGGCCAAAACAGTGTTATGGACTAAAAAGATTTTTTTTTTTTTTTTTTTTTGGAATAAGCCTGCCTCGTGTGGATATACACGCTCATTGACCAACTGGCATAAACGCACCAAAAACACATCTGGTATCATGTTGTACATTATCATGTCAAATGCAAACATCTCAGCAACAGTAACTTGTGATGAAGTTATGATCTGGGACTGATTCCCAGATTTATGGTCATACAGAAACCCAAAAAAAGATGGGTATTGCATTTGCAACAAATGTAAACTTGTAGAAGAAATTCCATAAAGCTTCCCAAAACACTCCCTCTCCAAAGGCTTTCATCCCAAATTGAGATGTTAGTATTTATTATCTGAGCTCATTTGAAATCCTCATCAGTAAAACTAGAAGCAGTTGCAGCTTTCTTAGCCTCTTGTCTTTTTAAAAAGATGACAAGAAAAAACTTCACCCACAGACAGACACTCCACACAAAACTCAGCTGCTGAGTCCACATTCTTGTTCTGCACCGGCCACTTCTACAATATAAAATCATGCTCACATTCTGCAAAACTTCATGTCCCATCCAGCACGCTTGTGTATAGGAATGCTATATACATAGTTTACAACTGCTTTCTGCCCTCCTGCCCCCAGTCAAAGCAGCACACAGAAACACCACACTATCACAAGTGCAGCATCACAAGAACCATCCTATCCCACTTATTCTTTTTAATGCTACTTCACGTTTTGGAGCAGCATTTCTGCTGACAGTTCAGTTTGCAAAATTGTTTGCTTTAGTCTTTTTTTTTTTTTTTTTTATGAAAGGATACATTCACCTTCTTGATTTGTTAAGTCAGAGGTGATTTAAAAACAAAAACAAAACCTGAATGACTTTTACATCATGTAAACTGAAGTTCTGTGATAAAAATGTCCAGCATCAGATGGTGGTGGAATGCAGTCGTTACCAGCTTTTGTCACTGTTCCTCTTTACCAGCGCTGGCATCTCTGTCCTTCCTTCAAAATTTCTGTATTTTGCTTAGGGAATGACTACCCTGAGATTTTAACTTATAAGAGTATTTGAGCAACATAAGGAGAGTGAGTGCTTGCTATAGCAGCCAACAAAGGCAGGTCATTGGATTCAATCCTAGAATTTAAAAAACAAAGAGAGGCTTTTCAATACAATCTACTTTTTACAGAAAAGGAATACACACACACATCCTTAGCTTATAAACTGCTTAATTTTAAGAAGTTGAAGGGATGGTTCATCAATTTCTATTAAATAAAGTGAATGATAATAAATGTGTCTAGATATGTTAGGTTAATATTACAAAATATTCAAGTGACAACAGTATGACACTCTGTGGTACATCACCTTTGCTTTTTTAAAATATATCATTCACTAGTTTGCAAGATTCCACATTCAGTCACCTGTGCTATTAGTCAGGTTCCCCTGCATAAATATGAAACTAACAGCAACTGAATTTTTAGTATTTTAGGATAATAAGACTTTTTCATTCTGCAAGGATCCACACTGAGGGTCTGTCCACACACCTTTCTGAATGCATGGACTCGACACATGCTGCCATTACAGTGTTATAAGAAAAGCAGCTTGAAACAGAAATCAAAATATGTTCTCTTTTTCAGTTGCACCACAGGTCAGAAGGCATAATCCCATTCACTATGATGTTCCGCTCAGGGTATGCAATGTTGGACTAATTTGTTAAGGAACAGAGTAGGCTACCTACTACAGGGAGAGAGAAAGGAAAGGAGCAAGGCAAGGAAAGAAGGGGGAAAAGGGAAGAACCAGTAGCCACAGCATTGCAAATCGGAGATCTGGGTCCCTTCCCAGTTCTGCCACTAATCTGGTCCAGAGTTTTCCTTGTCCATAAAATAGGGATAAAACTGATTTCTTATGTTAAGTGCTTCAAGATTGGCTGCTAAGTCAGAAGCTATGAGAGCTAGGTGTCATCATTGGTGTTTTGTTTGTATGACATTCTGATATTATATACAGTATGACATACATATATACACATATGTTGAGCAAGCATTCTTATTAGGTAGTAGCTGCTGAACACAGCATACCTCTTTTCATTTCCCCACACCTGCCTTTTAAAATGTGTAATACACCTCTTGTCAAAGAAACCTCAAACATTTGGTGGAACTGCTTCTTCTAATCCCTTAACTTTGATACACAAGGGGGGAATATATCAGACTAATTGAAAACAAAATTCACATCTCAGCTGTTCGTGAAAGATGTCATTTCTACTCCAAGTAAATGAGAAGGACTAGAAATTTATCCTTACTGATGAATTTTAGACAGTTCAGCGAGTTCCAGATGGCTCAGTGGTACATACTTTCACACTTTACTAGTGTCTCCCTCTCTCATATAAATCTAATGAGCAGCAAAAAGCAAGCCTGCTCATTAAACAGCAGGCAGCATTCAGGTTGTATAGGGAACTCAGTCACTAAGGCTTGCCAGAAATTTATTGCAGGATTTATATCTTACTCACCCCAATACTATTCCTAGCTCTTTCACATGAACTCTTGTATGTCCTCGCAGATATTCTGAAAGCATTTTGCTTTTGAGATACATCTCCTGTAGTCTATCCTCCAGATGCATTATGCACTGTAAAGAAATGCACCAAAAAACCTTAGGGATTCAGTATTCATGTCAAAGCATTATGAAAACATAAACGTTTATTTTAACTCCTGTCCTAGTAGGAATATAGTGACTGCAGTATAACAACACAGGAAGAAGAAGCAAGTGGCATTCTTAAGCTGCCAACCACAATTTTAAACAAAAAAAAAGTTTTTCTTCAAAGGATTGGAACAGGCTGTTTTTCCTGGCTAGCAACTTTGTTATACAGCGGTCAAAGAAACAAATTCAATTCCCACTGAAGCTGATGACAGTCTTTTCACTCATTTAGAAAGGAGCTGGATTATATCCAAAATGATAAAAGGCATTTTACTAAGCCTGAAACCTGCATACTTGAATTAGTGATTCTTAATTTCTCAAACACTATTGTTTTTCTAAAATATCACCCAACAACCTTTCAGTAGCGTGGGCTTGAACAACCCAGCCGAGCCTCAGGTGGCATGGCCTCATTGTGGGTGTGCACAGAGTCCCTGCACTGCTGTAACTTGCCCGACTCTGCAGGTCCTATCCAGCTCACAGGCCATATGTTGCCAACCCCTGTTCTTGAAGACAAATTTAAGTAGTTGAATATAAAATGGAAACTTCATTACTCTGGAGATCTGTCCTTCTTGAGAAAATTAAGGTTTGTCAGATAACTGAGAAAGCTACTGTCTTAATGTTCTTTGACAGGAATGCTTATTCTCACTGTTTACCATGTAGACCAGTTTTTGAACCCATTATAAACAGGTGAGCAATTATTTGGGCCCATGCACCACATAGGGAGTTTTGGAGAGCTGCTACGGGCCAGGTCAGCGCCCCCCTCCCCCCTGCAATAACTCACCAAACCTCCATATGCGAGATGGGGCTGCAGGTAGGTTGGGGGAGAGAAGCTGGTGTTGGCACAGCTGGCAGCTTCAACAGAGGCAGCTCAGCCAGGGCCCCTGCCACCACCAGCACCTTCAAGCCACCATTCTACCCTGAGGATGTGCTCTGGCAGATGCCTCGAGCCCCAGGAGGAACCTTCAGGCAGTGTGCACAGCTGATGCTGGCATGTGCCCGGTCTGCTTCTGGCACACGGGGCAGGAACTGGTCTAAGCTGCAGATGGGGCTAGGATGTGCCTGCCCACCCAGCATGATGTAGCAGCCAGAGCCCACCAGCACCCCACGGGCTGGATCCTATGATTTTGCAGCTGCTCACCCATGGGCTATTTTGTCCACCCTTGTATTATAAGGTGTCTTGTAGTCCCAGTTTAAGAATATTTAATAAAAATCAAGTACAATGTCAAAAGTTGGATTTGTATTTCAGTTAGGTTTTTTAAAAGAAGTAATTTCCCTCTTCCTTTATTTTAGTGTGCTAGTGATATAGCTGCTTATATACTTTTTATACACTCCTCAGATACATAATGGCTTCTGTGCTGCAAGGTAAACAAGCTTTAACCAATGTTTTAGTTTGGGATATTATGTGTATTAAAATGTGATATGTTCTCTCTGCAGCAATTGCCAGCAGCAAAATCAAAGTAATTCAGCTCTACATACATGCTCCTGAAGATGAAAACAAGTTTATACAGAACATCATGTTATGGAACATGTAATCAGCTGACAGGCAACAGCAGCAAGCAACTTCAGGCCACAATAAACTTTAGAAGCACATTGAAAGAAAACTGTTCTTGGGTGTCTGAATTTCTTTTAATACTGTATGTGGATATGCAATAATTTAAAATCTAATGGGAAGAGACTCATGCTTGGTAAGCAATGTTATATATTTTTATTTTTTTTAAACAAGAAAAAGATTTTAAACTATCAAATTTTGAGTTCATAATTGTTCTCTCATCTTTATCAAGGACAGTGAGCCAAGATTTTAATTATCTGAATAGTAAAAGAAATCTTCTTACTACACAGTACCAGTTAAGGCAAGCTGACAATATCTTAATTTATACAAATTTCAAATATTTTCACTAAACAAAGCACAGGCCAGTATTATAATATGGTGTCAAGTAGGGCAACATTTACTTCCTGCCTGCCATATACCTTTGTGTGAAATGAGACAAGGTACATGGGACAAACACCCCTCATTCGTAAAGACTAAATAAAATACTACAGAGGCATAAGAAGCAAAGTGGCACCACCTTAAAACTGCACCTCCTTCATGACTGCTACATCAATGGAGTGAAAGAATAAGTCACAAATCAGTTTTAATATGAGAGGTAGCAATTCTAAAAGAGGAACAGGAAAGGAGTGAGATTTTAGACTGATGTTAGATTTACTGTTGTCAAACTTACAAAGCTAATAGCTAAAGTACCTGAAAATAAACTATTTGAAAAATCTGACTTTGAAACATTAACTCCGGTTGTCAGGAAAACACACTTACAAAGTCAGCTGGGAGGTTGAGTTTGTAAAGCTGTAAAATGGATTGTAGTAAACTGGACACTTGATTGGAAACCAAAACATCCTGGCCTAGCTTCATATTGTCCATCAACTTTCTCTGGCTTGTTGCCACTTGTACGTTCCACTTATCTGTATCTGCAATGATGCAGACAGCTTCTGCTATGGGCTCATCAAGTACTGGATGCTATGAAGAGAACAAAATAAGAACAATTAGTCTTCAGAAGTGAGAGTTTAAAAAAGCCTCTAGACCAAGTTTAAATATTTTTTTGTTCCAACAAAAAACCCAGCCAGAAAAACCCCACACATTAAACTGGACTGAAACTTATGAATTTCAGCCTGAGCAGCAATTTGGGGGCCAAAATGAAGAATATGCCAGTTAGATGACTGCTATAATTTATGCATCTTTTTAAAAGAGGGATTCAATGCAATCCTGGGCTCGGCTGTTAGCACAGATTCAACAAGCTTTTGCATCATAGGGAAGAAACAAAGAAATAGACCCAGGGTTACAACTCGGGCCAGTTTGTTCCATGGACAAACTTCTGCTTTCAGAAGAGCAAATAGCATTTTCATTAAACAAAAACCCACTGCAGTAGCACAATTCTTCTTACTGCTAAAAGGAGTGGATATCCATCAGTAGGCAGCAGGTCATAATAATCTTTAGTCAGCCTTTATAGTGCAACTATAAAAGTTAATTTAGTGGCAAACTGGTTATAATAAATTACACTTTGAACTACATTAGGGTAAAAACTGGAGACTTTTGCATGGTTTAATTCAGCACATAACAAAGCTCGTATTTAGCAGCCAACTGCTCTCTGCAGTCATCTGTGCTAATGTCTGGCAAAAGCTCAGTCCTTACAAGATATTCTATCACCATGGTAACATGTACCATAGTAGGTGGATACTGCAGTAGCAAGCTTACAACCACCTGCAGACCAGCCTTGTTTTGTAAGATGCAAAGCAGTCAGCCTGCCAATGTAACTGTAATGCGAAGACAGCTCAATATTATGTTTTTGATATTGTAAAGAATGGCAAACTTGTTCAACTCTAAGTTACAAGTAAAGAGTTACAGATTACTTCTCCAATTACTTGGGAGGTAAGACCAAGACTACAGGTGAGAGCATCTTATCTGCAGGCAAGCTCCTCTCATATTTTCTGAAAGGGTCACTTTTCCAAGCCATGGGAAGGGTAATGTCTCCAAAGGGGTGATAAACCGTTATTTGGTTGAACACATCTTATATGCTCCCAATTAGATCACATAATCCGTGCTATTAAGAAGTCAGTGGCTTGGAGCAAATGTATCAACTTACATGTACTGCATGAAGCAAATCTGCTAGTAGACACTGCCTCAGCTTTTCATCACTACTTATTCCATGCAGTACTAGATCAGGCATGTAGGTGGGACAGTAACCACCAAGAAGCGACCTTCCAAAGTTTTTCACACTCTGACTGCTGATTGTGTTAGACCTAAAACACAGAAATATAAAGTTCAGTCAAAACGTTAAAGGACACAGCCACATTCCAGGCACATCGACATTTGCTCACCATATTTGTGACTGGCTTTTCAAACCATGAGACTGATATAATTCTTCACGTTGCTACTTGGTTTAGAGCTATGACATGAATTAGGTCTCACATTCACTGTGTATTTCTATACCCCTTTAACATTTATACTGAAAATCATTTGGCATATGACAATAATCAGTAGCAAACGCAGCTAGACAAAAGGATGAGGAATCGAGTTAGTGCTGCTGTTGGAACTTTAAAATCCACCCCCCATCATTTTGTTCTTTAGGGTCGCATCTACACATCCCTGTGCTTTAGTACTTCCTTTTGGAAGTACTAAAGTATGGCACAGTACAGGTGGTTACTGCGCTGTGCACACAGTGCATGGGTAGATTTCACTGCTATGTCACCGTAGTGGTGCGCTGCACCCAGAAGTGCATCACTACAGTGACGTAGCTGGCAATCATGTGTCGACACATGTGATTGCTATGTTGCCTGTAGCACATTGCTATGTTGCCATAGGGCAACATGTATCCGCACCCTAGATGCATTAAAAAAAAAAAGAAAAAAAAAAAAAAGAAAAAAAAAAGAAAAGGGGGTGTGTGGAGGGGGAAGGGCGGCACTACATTTCGTAGCGCTCCAAAAATAGAGTGCTATGGAGGCATGCACATGTGCAAAGCCCCCTGGCTGGCCCATGACAAAATTGCCTGAAGAGATGCACTCTCAAGCCACAATGTGATAACGTGACTGCTCATTTTCTCCTCCACCCCCGCCCCACACAGAAGTGAGTGATGCCACCACTGGCATCAGCTGGAGGCAGCTGTAGCAGAAAGGAAGCCCCCAGCCACTGGTGAGGGGAGGGGGGAAGAAGAGGAATGCTCTCCTTGCCTCCCCTCTAGTGGCAGGGGCAGTGCTTCACAGCCCATTGCCTGCCTCGTAACAACTGATCAGTGGTGGCTGCAGAGCTGGACATGACAGAGTTGTTTCATGGAATAGCTGCAGATCAGCTGTTCCTCAGAGTGGGGCTGGTTCTGTAACAGCCACCATCACCACAAATGGACCTACAGCTCTGGTTGCCTCCCTGGCTGTCAGGGAGTTGGCCAGTCTCCTTCCCTTCCACTTGGAGAGGTGGGAAGGAGAACAGAGGACTGTAGAAAGCTGAGGGTGTCCGAGAGATCTCCTGTAGTACTACAAAGAAGTTATTGTTTGAAACAGGAACTTTTTGTGGTGCTACAAGTGGCCCAAACATGCTGATGCTCATTTGTAGAATTAAAGTCTACAATATAGTGCTACAAAAGTAATGTGTACCCAAGGCTCTGCTCTAATGACAGATTAGAGCAACAAAAGCAAGTCAAGAATCTGTTTAATTAATGGCTTATATCCACATCTCCACACACGTAAATCCAAGGAGGCTTCTGGTGAACAAGCTCATTATGCTTTTTGTAGCTGTTAAACCAATTTTCAAGCAAAGCAGAGGTCTTGCTGCTAGCATTAAAACAGAATTATGCCTAAATTTTAGATTTCAACTCTTCATATATTTTAAGCATTCACACTTTTAGCTAAAAAGAGTTGGGGGGTGGGGAAGTAATCTTACAATCTCAACTTTTCTCCATTCCCTTAGTTCAGAGAAAGGTATTTTGCTCCAACTTTTCCAAAGGTTCACTTTCTGGCAGAGTACAAAATGGAAAATTTCAGTTCCCAGGGTGCAGCTTCTTGAGACTTGATGAAAATAATAGAACCCAGATAGTGGACTCCCAAGTCAGTAGTGCTGTCTGCTCACAAGGAGTTCCCTTGCACAGATCAGAGCCCAAGGGGTAAAAGCATGGGCCAGCTAGAATCATAATTGTGAAAACTGTTTGGAAACCTTTCCTGTAATTGCCACTTTTAACAAGTATTAAAAATAAATAGCTGGCAAAATAAGCTCACTGTCTGTCAAGACTTCAGGTGTTTCATCCTATTCAATCCTGGACTTACACAGAGACTGCCAACAAAGGACTGCAGTTCTTAAATCACACCAGGATATCAAGGAAGTAAATGGAGACCACAGTATATTTCATAGATGCACTGGGTCACAAAAGCTTTTGACCCTATATTTATTCACATTTTTTACCTTGGTAAAGGAAGGTCTACTTCTGCAAATTCTTTATGCCTCTTGTTGACCTGACCTTGAGGGTGCTGATCACGATCAGGGACATGTGAGGTGCCTTCATCATCACTGTCTCCAAGTGCACTATCTGAACTTTCATTCCTAGGAATGTCTCCTTCGATTCTAATGGAGATTTTCTTTCCAGCATCCCCATAGGAGATATCTTTATGGACTACTTGATTGCAGTCCTGTATGACAGCAGAACTTGTTTGAATAGTGTCAGGGGAATGGCCCTCCAGATTCTTGGAGTTCAGAGTTCTACCTTCTTCCAAGCCTTTTGTTTTCATGGTTTTCTTTTTGTTATCAGTGGGTACAACTATTTCACCTGAGAGTCCAGGAAGAGCAGAAGTATTCGCTACATGCATTTCAACTCTATTAGCCTCAGCCAAGAGGTTATTAAACACACACTCACTCCCTTTACATGATGGAATCTGTGTATAACAAATATTACGTCTAATACATGGCTGAAAGGGGGCCTTTGAAGATTCAGGCCGATTCTCTGCATTTTCTGCCAAGGCATTTGATGTACAACTTATTAGCTCTGATTTTTGTCTGAATGTCCCAAGATTTTCATCCACTTCCTGCTGGCAGGTTTCTAAATCTGACTCTGGTGATGTAAAACTACCAATCTGAAAAGTGACCCTTTCTAAATGAGGACTCCTGTGAACAAGCCTCTCAGGACATGGTACAGCTGATGACCTACCAGACAGCTTTTGTTTTACTTCACAAAGAATCTGGCTGGGGCTCTTTAATTCATTTGTTAAAACTTCCGATTCAGCTGGTTCTTCAAAAAGGTAAGATACAGTTCCTGTAGCAGTTGCCATCTCTTTCCTGTTATCATCCACTGTTCCTTTATGAGACCCGTAACTGCCAGTTGAGTGGCCTTTGGATGCAATACAGGATTCCTCAGTGCTTGCATCTGCCTTTCCTATTACTTCTTCATTCTTTTCTTTTGAAGATGGTGGCACAGAACAGGAATTTTCTGGGTTACTTACACAACCTATAGAGATACTGTTTTTACTTCCACCATTCTCTTGAGGTAGGATTGGAGGTACAAGAGCAGGTTCATTTCTAACAGTGACAACCACATAGTCACTTTCCTCCATCTCTCCCTTTTCCAAAACAGTTGTGATATTACTTCCATTCAGCATTTGCTCCCCCTCTCCAACCTTCCCACTCCAGGTCAGTTGATTTTCCTGTAGCTCAGAGCACCGTATGAAGTATGTGAGAACAAAAAGTAAGCGCTGAACCAATTCTTTACGTTTTCCAACTATCACAGTCCGTGTCAGCCTAACTGGAGAGCCTATGGCACCATACAGATCACCTATACAAAGGCATAAAGAAAACAGATTTACACAGTTGGATAGGATGATACTATAAAATTCCCAATCAGATAGAGTTTAACCTCAATACATATTACTTCAAAAGAACACTTGTAATTTGGGTAGTTACTTCTTAAATAGTTTGCAAAATGCTCTCTTTCATGGTAAATTCATGAAAGTTTGAAGCTTGGAAAACCATGCATCCTTTCTTCTATTCATATACTAGCTTGTTCTTGCACAATTGATTATAAAGGCTAGGCAACTACCATTCCGGCAGCTTTGAGGTGAAAAGGATGGAAGTTTGTTTAAAAAAATGGAAATTACAAAAATGTTACTCTGATTTAGAAATGGTCACAAGGAAAAGAAAAACAAGTCAAGGATAAGTTTGACACTTGACCAAATCAATAAAATTTTACTATGCTTACTTTCTCTCATACCAAGTTAAGCAGTCTTAGAATTTTGCATAAAATATCTGAAATTAAAAAATGAAATGCCATCTACAGCATCTCAGAAAATAAATTACTTTTTCTTTAGGCAAAGGATATGAACTTCTATGCACTTCAAGTGACACTACCCAGGCTACTGGGAAAAATAACTGATAAGTGTTATATCTATATAAATAGAATATAACACATGGTGTATTTTCACTTAGAGGTAGGTGCCCCATGCATAGGGCTGGCACCTTCAGGATTGTTTATAAAATTTAAATATACATGAGCTTTTGTAAGTAAAGAGATAGGGTCCTAGCATTGCTGGCTCCACAAGGAAACATGAGTAATCAACTACAACAGTGGAATACCATGTGCTAGGTTTCTATCGGATGTTTCCCCAAGTCCAAGCAGCTTGGTCTGTACAAGTCCACAGAAGGCAGTGGAAGCCCACAGGCAGGGATTGGCAACATATAGCTCATAGGCTGGATCCAACCCACTGGAGCCACTGAATTCAGCCCATGGAGCCAGAGGGGCTGGGGCTGGCTAGTGAGGAGCTGAATTGCTGCTGCTACTTCCCCCCACAGCCTCCTGGCTGCAGCACAGGCACGGCTTCCAGCTGGTGGGGAACTGAGCTGGGGCCAGCCAGTTTCCAGTTGCGACTCTGCTGACGGTGGGAGGCAGGAGGAGGAAGATGGAAAGAAATGGGGTGGAGAAAGGTGGCAGCAGTGCAGATGCAGCTTCTTGTGGCCCAGCCCTGGCTCAGTTCTCCACTGGCTGGAAGACATCTGCAAACCAGCCAGGAAGCTGGGGACAGAGATGAGCAGTGGCAACCCAGGCATAGCTCCCAGCTGCCTGGCTTCAGCACGTGTGCAGTCCAGCATCCTGCTTGCCCCTCATCATTGATGTGCCACCAAAGACACCCGACCTGTGTTGGGCTGGGGTTAGGTTGTTTTGGCCTGTAGCTCACAGAACATTTATTATTATGTATGATGGATGGAAAGAATCCATATTGAATCTCAAAGCTCCATCATTCAAAAAAAGAAAAGTCAATTTACTTATAAGCTGAGCACAGCTGCTATGGAAATCAAATAAGCATGAAGCTTATATGACATTATGAAGTAATGAAGAGTAATAAACAAATAAACACCCCACATACACACACACACTTTAAAGCCTTAGTCCTGGAAACATATTTGCACATTACATAACTCTAGACATATGAATAGCTCCACTGACAGGCATATTAAAGCAAAGGCTTGTTTGCAGGACTCAGACTTAAGTTAAAATTGATTGCATATAATTAACTTTAAACATCTCTTAGAGCAACTTGCTGGCAATTTAACATGCAAATCATAAAATTTCCAGACAGGTCTACCATTAACAGTGACAAAGATTTCTTAGAGTGATAGATCTTCTATGGGACCAACTATTTAGTTGGGATAAAGCTAGAAAAGCTTTCGAATGCAAGACATCTGGAATGCAGAGAGCAACCCAAGGAAGAATGTCTTGCATTTGAAAGCTTGTCTAGCTTTATCCCAGCTAAACAGTTGGTCCAACAGAAGATAGCACCCTAAGAAATCTTTGCCTTTTGCATAATTTATAGACAATCACAACTACAACAACACTGTTACACTACCATTAACAGCAGATTTCTATCACATATGAAAGACTGAAATTAACTTAAATTTTACTGCAATGCCATGATCTAAGAGAACATAGCATGTCTACAAATTTGTCTCTTTTCAGAGTTATTTACATACCAGTCACCCAAAATGTTTTTTTAAGGAAGTGATTTTTTACCAAGGACCTTGACTTTTGAAAAGCCAATGAACCACCAGGGGGCAACATTTTACTTCATACTGATGCAAGTTACAAAACATTCATATTTTGGCTATGTGAGACTATAGAACAGAAGAGATAATTTGATATCCAACTACTTAGCTCTGGTTGCGTCTTTATGATCTTGGTAGGAAGACCAGATTGACACTACCTTTCTGTTGTACCTACTCCTTTCTGGATACTATTATTAGCATAAAGTTTGTAACAATGTTCCCTCCTTTCCTATGGAAAACCACTAGAAGCTGCTTCTGGAAGAAAGGACCAGATAACACCTTCATTTTACACCACTTTACACCTTCATTCCAACTAAATTTTAGACTCCCAAGTCCTTTGTTCTTCTCCTTCCTGTCCAAGTCAACTTCATTTTGCCCATTTAAAAAAAAATCCAGTATATCACTCCTCTTGATAACTCTTCAGTTTTAAAGCAGGCAATACTAATGCTGCAACTGAAACAGCAGTTCTAAGGGTACCTGCGTCTATGAATAAGAGCCTCGTTGCTACAGCCAACAGAATAATATTGGATAAAAAGCAGCCAACACATGAACATCAACAGTTCAGTGTCTACATCTCATTTCTACTATGCTAAGTGTTTCTGCCTTTTTAGAAAACATACAAAAAAACTAGGACAAGAAGTATTTTCCAAAAGGTAAGAATTAAGAGCAAGATTTTGTGCAAAAACAGAATACTGGCATCTGAATATCTGTTCTGCAAACAATCATGCCCAAGTATGTTGGTCACTATGTATCACCTGTATGAGGTGCAATTTCTAGAAGGTTGCCGTAGACAATTTTATTTGTGTTTCATCAGCTCTCTTTTCACATGCTTATCATACAGAAGTCATACCACTCCTGGCAAATCTGACCCCAGCTGTCTTTCCTGCTTGGTGCAAGGGGGCTGGACCTGATGATCTTGTGAGGTCCATTCCAGCCCCTTACAGTCTCTGAAACTGAAGCATTAAGCTAAAGCCAGTCCTTCCCCACCCTCTGCCTCCCCCATCTGAAGATTTAGGGCCAGAGGCTGCAGCTGGGTTTTGTGATTCCTCTGTCCTCTTGCAATTGCCTATCAGAGAATTCCCATGGGCTACAGTTGTCCCCGTTTGCCCATTTGCTCTGTAACTGGGCCTTGTTCTTCTTCCCAACCTCTGTCACCTTTCTTGGCTTCCCTATCACAGAGGTATATTAGAGCCATCCTTGGAAAGTGTTTCACTGCCACAGGGGCCACTAACAACCCCAATCTGATGGCAAATCTTAAAGCTGCATAACGGCAGCTGTGCTGGACCAGGTCCAACTTTGAGAGTCAGTGATCCTAAACCAGTTCCCGGATATCATGCCGGACCCCCCATGTAGGGAGATGAAGTACACGTATTTCATTCTTGTCTGCACTTGAGCAGCTCCCACAGAAGAGGCGTAGAGCCAAGGGGAGGGCTGTTAAAAAAAATCTGATTTAAAAATAAGAAGGAAGTTTGCTACTGACCAAGCTGAGCCCAGAGAGGGTTATAAGGATGCGATTTTGCCAGCATGTTCACAGACTGCGATGTGCGTTTCTCAGAAAAGGCCTTTATGGGAGGATGATCCACTGGCATTACAGTCGGGACCCACGCCAGATGATAAGTCAGCACCGCAGTTAACAAAGCAGCAAAGAACCTGAAGGAAATAAGCAAGGTAATACCAGAAAAATATCCTGCTATGCCCGTATCAGCATGCTTTTCAATGCATTTTTATGCATTGGATGACAGGTTCCCGAGAGGCAAAGGGAGGAAACATACTGGTTCTTATTGATGTGTTCTATCAGAAGTGTAAATTCCTTAAGAAATCGCTGACATAACTGGTTCTTTTCCAGTGTGCTGGACATCATGGTAAGCCACACAGGTTCTGCGATTCTTGGAACCGAATACAGGTTCCAGATTGTAATTCTGTCACAAAGAAAGAGAATGAAAAGCTAAGTTAACCTGTGTGCAGGAAGGCTGTCAAAATGAGTAGTTCCAGTTCCTCTTATACAATCTCTTTGAGCTATGCAGGTTTTATCCATTCTCTTCAGAAGCACACTTTTGGACACCGTATCCAAGATGCATCATACTGTAATAAATAGTGTACTACATAAAACAATATCCACTACAAGGCAAAAAAGTTGGGCAGTGCATCTCAGCAAAGTCTAAATATCTGTGCTGTAAATGCATTAATAAACTGGAAGATCATGCACCAAGCTAAAGTGGCTCATTTTACGTAGCAGCTGCTCCACATACAAGCAATGTTTACTTCATCATACTTTCTGGTATGCAACATCAATGTGCAAATTGAAACTATAGATTTTCCCCAGGAAATTTTGCCTAAAAATCTGTACAACATAAAAGAAGTTGTGTATGGAAAATCCCTGTACAGGGTTAATCTATGTACGTAGTACAGATGGAAATCGGTACACGCATAAAAGTTGTATATGACATCAGGAAAATCTCTCTGCCAAACACTTAAGTTCATGCTCAGTGAGGAAGTTCTACTGCCTCACCAAAAATAGTTAAGATTAAAAAAAAGTTAACAAAACAATATTCGTTTCCTCTTAATCTTTTCATCAGAAATGGACAAATAATCTCTGCTGAAATTTTCCAGTGCAATCTCAGCTGCACTCATAGACCTGTCATAAGAAATCTCAGCCAAAGTGATTCAAGCCTGGAAGATGTACAGGCAGCTGAAAATGGGCTCTTGCAGTGGGAAGCACTGGGTAACCTTAACTACCGGCAGGGCTATCAGCTCAGCCAATAATTCAATTCAGCTTCAGTTCACCTGAATTCTCCCAGGGCATCCATGACGCGACTGATATAAACCTGCACTCTTTGGCTGGATTCTGCTATCTTCCTACAGGAGATCATTGCCTAGATGAAAAATAAGTGAGAAAAGAAACATTCTTAAAAGCTTCAGGTAATTTATCTATGTAAACACAACATTGACATATACTGTCATTAACAAACTGCAACGATGCAGTCACTTAGGATAAGGCTGCTCCCAGTCCACTGCAGGGTCACTTAAGACCAGTACAAATATGCAACCACATGTGCAGGAGAGGAGCCAGGCAGAGCTGTTCAGACAGTACTTCTACCACCTTTCCCTTTACAAGAAATCCATATTGCAATGAAGCAACCTATTTTATTTAGTGGTAATCAGTACCAAGTTAACAGATGACTTGCTCTCTGCATGGTGGTGCAGGGGAGGCGGGGATGGGCAGGGGGGAGATAAAAAAGAGCTCGTCTCCCCGTGGAGGTTCTGCCACTGTTGTGATAGCAAAACAGGTCACTGCCACCTCAGAGCAAGTTTCCCTGAAAAGGGTCTGATTCCTGCAGCAGCACAGGCTTCCTAATAGCAGCTATGTGGTACCACCTCTGAACTGATGCCCAGGGCTGATGCCCCCCACCCCCAAGATACTGCTACTTGACATCTAGTTTAATGCTCCACTGAGCTGGAATTCTGTACCTTTTCAATTGCACACTTTAGCTTATTCATATGAGATTCAAAGAGAGGAAAGTGAGAGAAAAAGAAATCCTGGAAGTTCCTCTGTGCTTCTTCTCTTTCGGGCAAAGCAAAGATTATGCTAATAGCAATCTTCTTTCTCCGGATCATTGCAGGGTTGGAGTGGCAGCTTTCATCGGCCATGCTGAACATCTCTTCAGTAGACCTGCAACAGTGTAGTGGTAGACTAGTTATCTGCATGTTTCTTATGCAAGTTCTGTAATTTCAGAAATGAACTCTGATAATTATTCAGTCTTCAGAGTTCTGCATACATTTTGCTTTGGCCTAACCCCAAGATTAAAAAGAAGACATCAGCCTAGCCAAAGTCAAAATGCAAGATATGCTCCAAGTTAAAATGCAAAGTATGTTCCTAATGAAAGTTTCTCTCAAAACTGCCTTCAAATCATGTCTATCCAAACTGCTCTGTGCATGTCCTTTCACATCTGATGAAGGGAGCTCAGACTCATTAAAGCATATGAACTTCCAATTTAGTTTATACGGTGCATCTTTAACCTGCCATCTGCCTAACTTCAGGCTAACACAGCTAACAATCTCTCTCCGCCACCACAATTAACACCACACAAAAGTATCTCATAGGAATTAAAACTACTTCTGTTCCCCATCCATAAATTTAGAAGATTGCTCCTTATTGCACAAGGTTGTTATGGTGGTAGAGGTGATGAAATGACTTGTCGAAGATCACTAGGGAAGTTTATGTCAGAGCTGGAAACTGAACCCAGCTCTTCCAGTGCTATTCCTTAATAACCAGATGACCGTATCTTTAAGATTTACATGCTCTGGTTCAGGACAGAACTCATGAAAAATACTAGTAATTTGTACTATATCTATCACAAAACCAAAGCCCCAGTCAGGAGTTGGCAATGTCCGTGTGCTAAGTATCATACACACATTAACAGAGAGGTGTCTGCTCTAAGAGATTACTAATGAAGGAAAAGCCTTTTCATGGATGATAAACCACAACTGCCTTTGGCTTTCCTCACTGCAAAGAAAGAGTTGTGTTCTTACACAGAGATACGAGGAACTCAAATCAGGTATATAGGATTTTGCCTCTAACAGATCCAAGGCATTTACGTTGATGTGAATACTTAAGGTTGAGAAGAAAACTGGTCTCTGACAGGATTTTACATCAAAACAACTAGTTAAAGTAAAAAGATACTCTTTTTAACGCTAAACAGGACCAAGTTAACAGGTAATGCAACTACCTTCTCTCTCCCACTCCTGCCAACTCTTGTTCAGTGGCAGCATCTCCTAGCAAACAGGAATAAGATGCCTACTTTAGAGCTTTGCTCACTGCCAAAAAATATATATATCAACCAATCAACTATTTATGCTGCACAAGTAATCATTCTCCATAGCAACCACAGAAGTCCATGGTGGAATACAGCAGGGCCTCTTGACCTCTATGGCAGGCATCATCCTGAAGTCAGTGATGGATCCCTCCCAACTGGATTAGAGCATCCCCAACTTCCATGTACCAGCTCTTACACTATGGCAGTTCCAGGCTGTAATTTGTGGATTAGGCATGTGGCCCAAGGGACAGAAACTAGCAACAAAAACTGCAGTCTGGACACCAAGAAGACAGAGTCAATGATTAAAAAAAACACACTGAGCTATTCAGTGACTTGATATATGCTTGGGAGGTCTAACTGTAAGAAGCAGTGCTATCTTCCAAGATTTGCCTGCAACCAAAGCATTGATCAACACACAGCAATGGAGGTGCCAAGCACAGTAGATTGCATAGCCTTCCATAAAATACTTGTTAGCTTTCAATATGATAAGTAATGGAATAATTAATCATGCTATCATTTCAGAGCTAACAGGTTACTGAGATAAGAAAACTGGCTTTTCTCCAAGCTGTTGCAGGCTCAGGCAGATACAGTATCAATTAAACTGTGTTTAGATTTTGAAAGTTATGTTTACAGCCTGAACAGCTAGAACTTTTTATAAAAGGGAATAGGAAAGCACAGGACAGAGGAAGAGAGAAAACAGTGCCTGATCACTTACAGGTCTACACAGAGGAGCCACCTACCCATTTGACACTTACATTTGCTCATTACAATGAACTCCTGAAGTCCGCATAATCTTATGCAACATGTTAGTGAAAATACAAAGCCCAAACTGCACAGGCCAGTAGTCAGCAACCTTGAGGATATGGGCCAGAATAACTTGGCTGGGGTATGAAATAGGTTGGCTCTAGGACTCGCCCTCTGCTACTTCCCCTTACCATCCAGCTGCAGCAAATGCAAAGCTCCCTGACACTGAAGTCCCCCAGTCCAAGGGCTGAATTTAGCCCATAGCCACAGATTGCCAACTCCTGCCATAGGCACCTCCAAGCACATTAAAAGGAGCAAGCCAAAAAGCCCACTGAACGACTGGAGCATGTTAACAGGCTTCACAGACATGAAGCATTTTTCATAAAGCTGGATCTTTCCTAGAGATATAGCACAGAATGCCCTTAAGGCAACATAAGTGCTTCACTCAGCTAATGAGAAGTAATCCTATTATCTATTATTGATTTAAGGTCATGTCAGGGAAGTAGGGGAGGGAAGGATTTAAATGCTCTGAATCTTTCAATGTACTGTCAGCTGCCAAATTGATTAAATAGCCTTTCACGAGCAATCCCAAGTGATTGGATAAGGGGGGAGGGTGGTGGTGGTGGCGGCAGTGGTGGCAGGAGAACATGCATGCACACATACCACAAAATATTTGCACTGCAATTCCGAATTTACTAATGGATTTGCAGAAAGTGCTTTTCATAAATTGAGGGACTTTTCATGACGCTATTTTATAGTGCTGTTCTAAATATACATAGGTGATTAAGTCCTTAATATTCTTAACATTTTTAGACAGAAAATAACAGAAAATGCTAGCATTCAATCTAATGCATCCACCAACACAAGAAAAAAGCAGTTTCATGTTCATTGTCCAATCACCCATAAGACAGACCTGGTCTGTCCAACTTTTAAGAGGTCAAAGGCCAAATGTCCTATGGGCTGCACCTGCAAGGGCCACACACCATACAGGTCATATGAAGGTGAGCCACAGGCCTCCCAGGTCACATGCCACACCATTCAGATGCGCCCCCACCCCACAACTGTATCATGAGCCCACAGGGTCCCAAGCTCAACCTCTGTTCCCCATCCTGTGCTGCACTGCCCTGTCCCCAAGGTTAGGGCAGGGAATGGAAGCTGGAGGGAAGGGAAGCCCAGAGACTTTAGCTGCTGTTGCCTCCAGAGCTAGGAGGGAAGTGGCAGGTGGGTGGAAGCCTTGGACAGCTCTGGAGGTAGACAAACTGCAATATCCAGAGAAAAACTCACAAATAAATTGTCTCTAGACTTAACTTTTCCAAATAAGGATAATGCAGCATAGTTCGCTTTATAAAATGGAGAATCCTAATAATAGACTTTGTAAAGCATCAACTACTACTTTTTTGTGGACTACCATCAGGGAAAATCGGAGGATAGTTTTGAGCTGGCTATCTGAACAGAGAAGTGAAACTTCTCTGGAAACTCACCCTAAGCAGAGACTGTTTTCTGGGTGATCTTTTCAATAAGTTATATATACACACTAAGTTTATCAACAGATAGGGATGAGAATCAAGGCATTCAGGAGAATGAAAACAGCTTGTGGGAAAAGAAGAGTTCAAGACAATATTATGTCATTTGACTTCAGTGACTAGTATAGAGAGACAGAAATTCCCATGGATGTTGTGAAAGGAGTAGCTAGTCAGGATCTAAGAAACATCACAACCACATTCTTGTGCTGTTTCCCAGAATCTGAGATTGAGGAACTAAAGTCTGACTGGGCAAGAACAGCTTTCAAAAGCTGCTAATCATACTTGTGTGCCAAGTGACTATATGGAGTTACAGATATAAAAGTTTCATTCTCTTTGAGCCATTGCTCTAAATGACAGATACTGTGCTGCTTTGGCTATGCCTGAGGAAGTAAAGATTCAATTTCCACTGAAGTAAATAGCAAAAATCCCATTGCTTCAGTGGTGCGTGATGAAATGAGATCACAAGTGACTATCTAAACAAAAAATTCTCAGCCTATTAGAACTATAATGTTTGAAATAACTTCCTTATTGGCTATGGCCAATTAAAAAAAAATCCCACATACAACACTAGAGAAGCCACTACCCTCTAGAGAATAATTTGGTTCTGCATACTGTAAACATTACACTGAATAAAGAAACCACTGTTCTGATAACTAGGTCCCAATTTTACCACTTAAAAATACGATGTGAAACAACTGAAATGTGAGAATTTATTTTACACTAAATTGCAAGTCAATTGATTTGAATGCAATTTAAATAGTTAATGCATTGTGGTCTGTTTAAAAAGCCACTTACTTCATTTTTTATTATTCTGTGACTTTTTCATTTGGTGGCCTTCAGCATAACCTCTTGGGCGAGCCAAAAAAATTAAAAGCCCAAAGCAGCTGAGCACTCAGCATGTTTATCTGTCGCTATAAAATGGACAGAAGATGAATGGAGTATAACTGCAGGATAGGGAAGCACTACAGCATAGTGGATTAGTGGGCGCTACTTCCATGCTGGAAATCAATGCACTAGTTCCCCTACTTCATCCCACCAACAAAGGAAACAGGCTATATGCCTACTCAGTAACAATTACAGAGGCACTCTGGTAAGCTTGGGGGAATCCTCGGGAATCATGGGGGATGAAGGTCACCAACTCTCATCATTCTTAATTCCATCCACATGTTGTTTCATTAAGTCAGCCCAGCAGCACTGATCTCCACTTCCCCAAACAGAGCAGCACTAGGCTGAATACCCCTTTTGCAGGTAACATCCATGAAACTGGGAGAAAGCCACAGGCATTTCCTACACCCATCACCTCAATGCTGCTCCTTGCCCACTGGGTACCAGTACACATGTACAGTAAAACCCAGATAGCTCACGGGGCTAGATTCATGAAAATAAAGATTTGCAAAGCAGCAGGAAATTGCACACAGCTGCAGTAGATAGCAGTGTGAGACTGCTGCAGTAGCCCAGCTGATGGGGTGGGGAGGAGAAATCACAGTAACCAGCTGAGTGACTTGTTCTTAATTTACCTGCAAATTAAGGAAGCTACAAACCAACCAGATACAGTATCCACTTCTGGTATTCACTCTGAGTAGGAGTGATAGCCAAGACTCAGTCCTTAATCTCACCCACAAATGAGAGTCTGTGAGTTAAGAGTCTTGATGCCTTCTGTGATCCAGATATATAAACCAATGAAGCCAAAATTTTGGCGTTTTTTTGTTTTGTTGGGGGGGAGGGGGTTGGTTTGGGGGTTTTTTGCTTTGTTTGTTTGGCTCAAAGTCCTGTTCCTTTCTGTCCCCCTCGAGTTTTTCCAAAATCATGCTAGAGTCATCCTGTACCTGCCAAGAGTCGTCATGGGATACTACACCAAAGTTTTGATCACTAGTCATTAATCAGAAAGTGTTTCTTTATTCACATAAAATGATTTTCTTCACTTCTTGTAATCTTAGACCACTCATAAACACTAGTAGGTAAGTGACTAGACATAAGTGCCAGAGTGCTTTAAGACTATATCATGTTCAAGTGCAGAGTCTTGCGCAGTTATAGCGAGTGCAGCCAAGCTGCTATTTTCAATAGCAGTTACAATACTCACCACCTTGGAATAATTCCATTCTCTAAACTTGTTGTTTGACTTCGGAGCCAGCGGCGCTGGTAACTGCTTGAAGAGGAGGATGAAGAGCTTGGAGATGGGAACGGCGTAATCAAGAGACTGCTCAGTGATGCTATCAAGAAAGCAACATATAGATCGGCCTTTTAAGTGCTGATTAAGCGAAAACTCCCCCCTCTCCTGGTAAGTATTATAAGTTATAAGTATTGTTCTTACTTGTAGACTTTAATTTTGGCCCATCCCTCCTCCAGTAAGAGATTATTATAATAATAATCCTTTATAATATTATAATTTATATTATTATTATTATTATAATAATAATAATAATAATAATAATAATATTTTTTTAGCTATTGTTGCTGCCTTAAGAAAAAACTTCATAACTGCATTAATAGGACAGGAATGTTATATACACTAAGGAGACCAAGACTATCTCATCATTCTTGGGTTTGTACACAGCTGAAACAATGTCCTCACTAATGTCTTTCCAGTTGTACAAGCCAAACAGTACCCCCTCCCTTCTGCAGTCCCCCTCTCCACCCTCCCCTGCTCACCCCGCAAGTAAAATGCTTTAGTTGAAACTAATTGGGGGTAGTGAGGCGCTTGGATTGGTTGCTCCCAAAGACAGAAACCTTGTTTATAGACAGGGAAACTTCTTAATAGATTCTCCAAGCATGGACTGATATGTTGTAAACAGAGGTGCCCCAAATTTAGCATCATTGTGTAGACAGAAGTCTGAACTGGTTAACTGTGCTAACTTTTGCTAATGCATCAAATGGGGGGGGAAGAGGGAAAAGAAAAACAATCATGAATACCTGACCGAGCAATGCCACTGTCTCTGTCCTCATTTTGCCCTCTGCTAGGCATATCAACTGGTGTGCTGTGCGCTACAGCAAACAAATCAGAACAGAAAAATGTTATACGACTCTTCAGTGTGTTTGCCAGTATTAAGAGGAGCAAAGTTACATTCTGTGCTGTTACTTTAAATAAGGAATAGCTATGTCCACAGTCTGGTGAGGCCAGAAGGAATAGTAAGCGATATTTTCATATAGCATGCCACATAATTGGGGGGGGGTATCTGTAGGAATGTGAATATTGTACATATTATTAGAAGTCATATATAATTTGAATATGAGGCCCCTGTAAAGTATTTCAGGTGGATAGAGGCAGCCGAAATATCACTAGTCACTCTTGAAAAATCCTGGTTTGTTTTATTTTTGTAGGGTTATTGGTCCTAAAACAGCAAACATCACTGTAAATGGGTAGCCATCAATAAATGTAATTAGATTTTAATTAGTTTATTATTACCGAGCATAAAGTTTCACAGGATGGAACAAATATTCAGGGTAATGGATAGCACCACCATTAAGTGTTAGTATCACAGAATCGCCTAAGTTACAAAGCATGCAAAATTTGAGAGAGATAGAGATAAAAAATCATTATTAGGACTTTAATGTCCATTTTTGTAAATCAACAGGATCAATTAGCGCTGAGGTTTATCCACCTGCATGGGCCATCATTACATCTGTAAAAGAAGACTTCAATCTGCAAAGGAGATGGAATGCTACTTTAAAAATGCAAGAAAAGTCCACTGTTTTAAATTCCAAACATTAAGCCTCTCAGACACAGCTCAAGATGGACTTAAAAAAAGTTATCAGAGATCCACAGGTAAGGTAAGAAAGAGGCAAAAGTAATCTGCACACCAGGAAGAGGCCTGCACACAAGCAAGAAACCCACGATAGATCAGGAAACATAAGTCCTCCTAGAATTGCAAGGGCTCGTTTATTATTAAAAACATATTATATATTACTCAGGAAATATCCTGAGTATCAATACAAGAGGTGGGGTGGGGAGAAGAACAAGAAGCTATTAATGCAGCCTGGTATCTCACAAAGATTTGAGTCACACAAAGCCAATATTTGCCTATTATAATAAACTTAGCCCTTTCTATTTCTAGAGAGCAATTATGGATCTCCTGCCAAGAATCAGAGGGAGCTGCATTTGTGTGTATGAGTGGGGTCACACTGTGCTCATCATTCCTCACAAACCTGCAAAGAAAGAAGCACTCCGGATGAGCCGGAGGGGGCCTCCTTCAGATACACCTTGCAGCAGTTTGCTGCTACACAGCTGTAACACACCTAAAATGAACCGAGGAGAAAATTCAAGACAAAAACAAAAAGATTAAAGAGACAATACAATGAAAATAAGATTTTAAAAAATGGCCTCACATTAGGAAAAGATTTAATTTTTTTTTTTTTTTAAGGAAAGTATTTACCTAGATTACTTCCACTACGACAAGTGCCCAAGCCATTTTGATTAGAGTTCATCTTTCCCAGACTGGGATCTTGGTTGATATATTCAAAACTATCCTGTAAGCTAAAAAGAGAGAGAGCTAAGAAAGACTATTGTTAAGGGTAGTAATTTTTTTTAAATGGTAGTTGATGTCCAACTTCACAACCTCAAGGAT